TATAAACGTTTCTAAGCCGCCACTTAGCACTCTAATAAATTAGAGAAATCAAAGAAATTCTAAAAAATCTATCCATTGATTTTCATTTAAATTGGTAGACCCAATATTTTAGATCATTATATTAAATCTATTAAAATATTTCCAACTAATAAGGATCCGATGCATACATATGGATGGTACGTATGTACGTACTACTCGTAAAAAAAAGAATCATTCCTTCTAATATGGATCCGATGCATATCTATGCAGAGGAAGGTATGTATGTACTACTCTACTTTTACCGTATGTACTACTCTACTTTTACAAACGTAACGTAAAATACGATTGGAAATTAAAAGAGGATAAAGCGGATAAAACCATAAAAACCATAAATACTTTTCTTCCCTCTTTTTCATTCTTTTCTCCCTGCGTATACAGGTGAGATAACAATTAATATTAGTGATAATAAATTTTAAATAATTATAATTCTTACAAACATAGAGTATATATATCATCATATGACTCTTTCAAAAACATCATTCCTCCGTTTCGTAAAGTAAGTCTTTCTAGCATTGCTCACATTCATATAAATGTTATATGTCTAGATTCATTAATATCTTTATGAATATGAGCAATGCTATAAAGTCTTGCATTATAAAACGGAGAGGGTACATAACTAAATTTGCTCTATAATGTTCAGTGATAAAGTTTACTCCCTCCGGTTCCATAATTCTTGACGTTTTGAACATTTAAACTTTTATAAATTGAACTATTAATAACTTTAAAAATATTAAAGATTTAATGGCATGCATACGAGGATTTTATGTGGTATTGATGATTTGATTCTTTTACCACAACTTTTAATTGTACATCCAATTTATAATCGGTTTCAACCACTGTATTTCTATTAATTGAATGACAATTAAAGACCTGTATTGCTGAATTGAGTCCCAAATTAACATAAGCTGAATTGTTTTCAAATATGAACATAAGGATATCACATACATGACACTAACCACATTTATCATTAGTTTAATTATTAATCAACATTTTTGGACAACGCTTATTTCTAAATCTATAAATAAATATTCTTAATATGCTACTTCTATTGGTTAATGGGAGATCACCGTTAAAAATTAGTCATGAATGTCCCCTCTTAAGAGGTGGAAATACATGTCTTTATGGTTCCGTATCAACATACATGTGCCTTTCAAGGACAGCGTTTAGTGCAATTTTAACGCCTAATTCACTATCAGCACCTTTACAGATGATTGCATCAGTAAGTAGAAATTTGAACACTATTGTCAACGGTGGTTTCCAAAAGGGCTACCTCAACTAAACCATATATATGCCCCTACTATACTTGTAAAAGCTTCTCAATTCCCTTTAGAGAAAGCAAGAAAATATGGATGTAATGAAAATAATTCTTCCCATAAAAACATAGTTGTTTTTTTCATTTTGTGTAGACATAATTTGTTTGTAGTATTAATCAGTACTACCCGTTTATGGTATAGATACAACATTCTCTTTTGTTAAGTGAGGTTAATCATTAAAAAAAAGGAGAGAATCTATTCTACACCACTGAGTTTGTTCGAGTTCAACGATTTACCATCAACATTGTCTTTTTTTATAATATACCGGCGACTTTATCAATTGTTCTACGATACGCCATTGGACTGGACAATCTTTTCAAAAATACCCAAAATACCCTTAGAGACATACAAGATTAACAATTGATTTATCTCATCTGAATATTCAAAAAAATATGAAAATTTCTATGTGGCCTCCTTACACAATATGGAAGTTTGTATACAAGTTTCAAGTTTTTTCTGATATATTTAGTTTTTTGAAGAAAATATTTTTATGTGGAATATGAGAGAGAGTTTGCTAATAAAAGAGATAATAGCACAAAAATATCTTATGTAGTATGAAAGATGATTTATATTAAAAACAACAATATACAAGTATTTTATGTAGCATATAACAGATAAGTTATATTTTTTATAAAAAAATAGAAATGTAACAAACTTGAAACTTCTATACAAATTTCCATGTTGTGTAAGAAGGCCACATAAAATTTTCATATTTTTTTTGAAACTTCTAATGAGAAAAATCAATTGTTAACTTTGTATGTCCATAAGGGTATTTTGGGTATTTTAGAAAAGAAGGCTCAACCCAATAGCATATTGTAGAATAATGGATAAAGTTGCCAGTATATTAAAGAATGCGACAATGTCGTTGGCAAATCATTGAAATCGAACAAACTCAGTGGTATAAAATAGATTCTCTCTTAAAGATGTATCGCTAAATAGATATATGACCGTAACCATGTTCAGATTATCATATCACTAAATCACATTTATATTTTGATAAAGATCTATATTTTAGCGTCTGGTTTGTTTTCATCACCTCTTGTTGATAATTGCATGAGGCACCTTTACTAATTTTAAAATGTATTTATTTTCCAAAATATGTACAATAACTAATTTGTTGGAGCGCACTTATAGCATACATTCATCAACTATCAACTATCAATTATGCCATATTAGAATTCCTCGACTATAAAAAAATATATCATGAGTAGTTTAATGCACATGTTATTTGTTGGTTTGTTACCAAACCAATTTGGCAAAGAGAAAAATGTTTGGATTAAGGGGCCGTATAGCAAGATCAATGCCTAAAAATACCAATGAAATAGTTCTGAAAAGTCTAAAAAAACATTTGAGAATATTAGTCTCCATAGATTAAAATTAAATCATATATAACTGATAAAACATAATGTTGTTTTGTTTTCACACATGTAGATTTCAGTTAGTGTTATATATTTGTCAAATGGTATTTGACACCATAAAATATGATGTGAAATTATTTCAAAGATATGACGAAATTAATTATTATAAGTTGCCTAAATTATTTGAAAATTATTATAATATTAATTATGATACGTCAGCTCCATGTGTTGTAATGTATTTAGCATCATAATATAACTATGATAAGTCATCAACATTTGAATACAACGGATTATAGTTTGAGCTTATGATTTAAAAATAATTTAAAATGAGTGTATAAATACCTTTGATTTGATATTTATATTGATCTAGTTTAACTTGCATATTTGGAGTAATAAATTTTGTTTTATAGCATAGAAAATCCTCAACTGTCTATATTATTTTCCGATGGCTGTACCAACGTACATATGTATTTTTTGAACTTTATGGCTTTTTTAAATGGTATGTACATATATTTCTTTGTTTTTTAATCAAATATCCGGTAAACAGTTTCTCTTGTATACGCAAGAGATTAAGAGGAAGCGGGCTAAGGTAATGGTGTAAAATAATAGGTTCATTAATTTATGTAAAAATCGATGGTGAAATTACGTAGTATCACGTGGTGGTCTACGAGCGCTTGTAGAAGCACCAAATGATCATATTTGTAGAGTAATAATTTTATTTTTATAGTATAGAAGATCCTATTTAAAAAGGCTTTGATGGTTATAACATTGTACATATATTTTGCTTTAGGCTTTAATCTTGCGTACATTGGTACCTATCCTTTGTTTTTTCACGGGTGAACAGTATATTATTTTTTGTCATTATTTTTTTAGCGTATTTTCATGCAACGTAACGAATGTAACTATTTGCATGTAGGTACGTAAATATTTCCAGTAAACGGATTATCTTGGATATAGAAAGCATAAAATTTTTAAATAGATCTAATCCGACGGTATAGAATAATGGATCCACCAATTTAAATGAAAATCAATAGTAGGATTGTAGAATGCCACACGGCGGCCTAGGAGCGCTTGTAGAAAAGCCACGTGGCGGCTTAGGAGCGTTTATAATATGTTTAATGGACTTATAGTATATAATAGATAGATAGCTATTTTTAGGGCATGTTTGGTTTGGAGCCAAATTTTGCCCTACCAAAATTAATTTTGATAGTACCTATTTATCAAGCTTGAAGCATTTAGATTTACATTTCCTCAAAACCCCACCACCTGTTTATCAATTGCTTTCAACTGAATTGTTAAATTCGAAACCCTATATTGGAAAACCGTTTAAACGAAATTAAAAATTGAATGCTTGAAACTTGTGGTACGAGGAGTTCACCTAGGGCTTTCTCTACACAAGAAATAGCTTGATGTTGCCGTTGACCCATAATGCAGCTTGTGCTTGGTGGCTAGGGTGGGAGAGAGAACTAGGGGTCTGTGGGATCCTTTGCAGGGAAGAAAAGGAGACTTGAGAGCAAGATAGACTCAATGCAATATATTGATCTCAGTGTGCAGAGTACATATATAAGCACGTCCTTTCCTAACCACTCAACCAACTTATTTATGTAGAAACAGAATCGGGAGAGATATTGGCTAGATAGCAAGAGATGAAGCATGCCAAAATACAAAAGATACTAACCCTCTCACCCCAGTCATTCTATTAAAGAGAAGTTCCAGTGGTGGATTAGAGATGGTAGTTCGGTGCGATTGTTGTAAGACCCTTGGCTCGGTGGGACTGCACCGGATAGAAGGCCCGGCGGGTGTCCGAACATTGAGACTGGAACGGAACTCTAAGAAGATGGTACTAGACAAACCCTTGGTGAAGATATCCGTATAATGTGACATCGTCGGGACATGAACACACAAACAGATCCGACAGCAACATGATCATGTACAAAGTGTAGATCAATCTCCACATGTTTGGTTCGCTGATGCTGGACTGGGTTGGTATGAATCCTTAGCTAGTTTGCATATACAAGAACGAAGTATGCTTGTGAGATAAAAGAAACTGATCGAGTTATTCTCTGTGTATGGACAAATCCTTCCATTGATAAAATAATGCAAATACATGGAATATGTTAGACTAACTACAGATGTAATTTGGTGCAAAACTCTTGTTGGACCTTGTGTACAATAGAAGATGGGTGAAGTGTTGAGGTTGGCACAGGGAACATTGAAAGGAAACATATCCTTGGAAACTAAACCTGCTAGCTAGCCTTGATTGGTAAGTGATCAATGATGGATGGATGGGTTAATTCTGGTTCTGGGTGGCAGCCGGCCTTGGGACATACTTGCGGAGCCAGATCTGGCGATGGCGGATGGAGATCTTGACGAGACGCTCTCCGTTGAGCACCAGCTGCACAAATGCCTCGCTCCGGAAGATGATTCGCCCGTACATTGGCTGTGAGCCTCCCGCTGTCTTCTCCATCAGGACACGCACCACGCAGTCGCCCCACTTCCTGCACGTATATATAAGTCGTTGTCAATGCCAATGCATCAATCCATCCTGCATTCTGCATTCTTTGCTATGGGACCTAGCTGCGCTATGGGGAGGATTGCAGACTCACTGCCTGAAGTAGTCGAAGATCTCTTCACGGTCGATTGGCGCTCCCCTGGAGAAGGTGATGAACATGGAGCGGCAGTCCTCCGGCACGGCGACGGAGAGGCAGCTATAGGCCGCCATCAGCTCCGGCGGGTTGCCGACTAGGCCGGTCTGGTAGCGGCGGAGCATCTTGTTGAGGTGGTTATTGAAGATGAGCGAGCCGACACCGTCTAGGATGTCTGCGACACCACGCACCACCAGGTCCTGGTGGAATGTGAAAAAGCGCGGGTCCACATCGCCGTCCTTGCAGAGCGCGGAGATGAGCGGGATGGCCGGCACTACGGGCTCCGGCCCGCGGAGGCAGTCCAACACCGAGTTGGCCTCCGCGGCGACGAGGCTGACGACGGTGGGGCTCAGCCCTGGGAGGTGCTGGATGGCTCGGACGTTGCACTGGTCCAGCCACACCAGCAGCGCCACCGCGTTGCGCGCCTGCTCCGGGTTGCTGCCGATGCCGACGAAGCGGTCGTAGGCGGTGCGGGCGTCGCTGTACATGTACAGCACGTCGCGGACGGTGAACATCTGTTCGGCCATGATCAGCGTCGTCGTCGCCTTCCGGAAGCTCCGAGAACTAGATAGCTTAGATTCTTGTGCTGTGTGTGGTAGGCTGCTAGGTAGCAATAGCTCAGGATGATGGAGTGCTGAATGGGGCTAGCTGAGGCCTGTATTTGTAGCCGGTGGTCGCCGGCGAGTGGTTGCAAGGAGGAGTTGAGCAAACGGATGTGTTCTCGCTACCTGCCTCGCATGGCAACCTTTGGCCTAGCTTAGCCAAAATAAGGAGGAAACGAAACAGGTATGATGGTTTGAAACGGTTGCAGCGTCGGTCTCCTCTGCTTTACGATTCGTGCTTCTCTGGCCTGAAGCCCATTTTGTTTCCTATTTTTTTCCCTGTCCTTTTTAGATGAGCTTCCTCTTTTATTCCCTAGTTGCGCTCAAACTAGCAGCTATATATGAATGGATCAACGGGATAGTGCTATCGTATGTATATTTTGGCGGTTAATTATACCTTGATCATGCATTGTTGCTAAGTATACCTTTATATATCGTCCTATCTTTGTTTCAGTTCATATGTATCTTTGGCTACAATCGACTTAATCATTATTACTTGCCTTTATCAAGTCATGGCAGGACATCAATTTTGAAGGGCAATTCGATCATATTGTTTGCATGCATATACACATTGCCACGTACACGTACATATATAGATCCAACCAGCAAGACAAACGTTCAAACTTCATTACTCCCTCCGTTTCAGGTTATAAAATATTTTGACTTTGGTCAAAGTCAAACTGTTTCAAGTTTGACTAAAGTTTATAGACAAATATAGTAATATTTGTAATACTAAGTTAGTTTCGTCAAATCAATAATTGAATATATTTTCATAATAAATTTGTCTTGGGTTGAAAAGTTACTATTTTTTTCTACAAACTTGACCAAAGTTAAAACGTCTTATAACCTGAAACGGAGGGAGTACATATGTAAATCCATATATGCTATGACCTATTACCAAATAAACAAATCAAATTCCAATTTAAAATAAATTTGTTAAATGCTCCACACACTGCTCTAGAAAGCCACATTACTAACAGTTGAAAATGGCAATCTCTAACAATTTGTTGAACCGCTATATAGACATTTGGTTACGCTTGAGTTGGCGTGAATAATCTCTAAATGTTCTTGAACTACTACTGAACCAATGATATCTAACTGTTCACAAGCTATAAAGTATTACATTTCATATTGGGACAATTAAAAAGAATGCAAAAGTTACGAACCGGTAAGATTTGCTTGTCGTCGTTTGTCATGCTCAGCTGGTTGATCTTGACATCACCATGCCAGAGGGGAGAAACAAGAGCACCGAGCGAGGACATCTTGACCCATGCAATGTCATAGTCATCTCACCATACCTTCCTAGATCTAGAATCATAGAGCTTGGAGTGCATCTAAGATTACCATCTCACCATACCTTTCCAGATCTAGGATCCTAAAGCTTCGAGCTTGGAACGGGTAGATATAGCATGCACCGAGCTTGGAGCGGCTAGAGCCATTGTTTTCTTGATCACACAAGAGCAATGAGGAGAGGAGGCCTCAAGCCATGCTCTGTTGTTGCCATCATAGTGGCCCTCCAAAGATGTCACCATCATCGTACGTACCATGTTCGATCCGGTAGCCCAAGCTAGAAGCTCTAGATCGACATGGCATTTTAAGCTCGCCAACCGCATCGAAGCAAGGAAAGGGTAATGGTGGACTCTGTGTATCTCGCTGAACAAGGGGAGAAGAGGCAATAGTGCATGACTAGCTTGGATTAGTTTTTTTTTTTTCGGGGAAGAGCTGGGAATTACTATTGCTCAACCGACAGACTAGCTTGGATTAGTTGACATCACCAAAGGAGGTAGCAGCTAGGATGGCAAAGGATTGAAGGCCAGCGTGAACTTGGGTCTGGCAACTAGACAAGGAGTGGCGGATGAGGGGCAAATGATGCAAAATATGGCAAAGCTAGGAGTGGAAGATAGATGTGCCTCGATCCGGAGCCCAAGGAACGGGTCTATGGGAGGATAGAGGCGAAATGTGGTAATATAGGTGGAGTGGTTGGAGTGGGAGCACGTTGATCTTACCTAATATGTTGTTCTTGATATGAATCCATGACAAATATGATAGGGTTAATTGGATCCATGCTATTATAACGTTGCCACTTTTGAGAAATGTCACTACTATTCGTTAAATTAGAAACATGTCATTATGAATCAGCTGATTTTGGAACCATGCTTCTCTCTGCACCCCAAGCCTCTTTTGTTGACTTGAATAGACATAGTTGCCCCTGGTTGAATCATAGGTCGATGGCGATGGCAAGGTGGGGAAGACGACGGTGACCACGATGAGGAGATCTGGCGAAAGCAAGGTGGGGAAGGCGGTAGTGGCGAGGTCGACGGAGACGGCAAGGTGGGGAAGTCGACGGCGATGGCAGCGAGATCTGGTGAAGGCAAGTTGGGGAAGGCGGCGGCAGTGAGGTCGACGGCGACGACAAGGTGGGAAAGATGATGACGACCACGGAGAGGACGGTAGCTCAGGAAGACGACGACAACGTGACTACGGTGAGGGCTGGAGCTTGGGAAGGTGACGATGACTTCTCGGGGCCCTAGATTCGCCGGCGAGCAGGCTGGATCTAGCCAGCGGCGCGGTGCCGATATGGGAGAAAAGCTACGGAGCTACACCGGAGAAGCCCGCTGCCAAGCTCGCGCTTGCCGCTGCCGTCGCCGTCTCCACCTTGCCACCGCCATTCCTGACCTTACCGTTGCGCCGAGCTCACGCCTGCTGCAGACGTTCCTGACCTCACCATCGCCGGATCTGCTGGCGAGCTTGCGCTGCTGCTTCACGCCCCGTCGCCAACGACCTCGTCACCGGCGTTGCTCGTAGCTCCGCCATCGTCACCATCGCCGCACTCTCTGGTAGGGATAGGGATATAATATGATGCAGGGGCATTTTAGTCAATACGAATATACGGAACAACAAATACGGTCAACAAAGGGGCTTGGGGTGTAGAGTGTGGCATGGTTCCAATAATCATCATATAGGTTTATGCACCAAGACCAAGAATAATTTAAATCGCATCAATCAAAACACCATGCAAATATTCTCCCACAATGCATGCATCAATTAAAGCACCATGCCTAGCATGCACACATTCTCCCATGCTACATGAATTGTATTCCGATAAAATTCGTGTTCATGCAGTTATACGATGATCAATTTGAGAAATTTTGAATTTCATTATAAGATGATCAATTTGGGAAGGAGGGAGTAGGCTCTACTTGAAATGGTGTTCTTGTGCGCTATGTGGAAATTACTTAGTTCGATTGTCATTATCATGAATAGATTATTTTGCTATAGAAATATGGAAAAATCATAGTGCAACATTATAATTTCCATATGCTACCTCTTCATTAGAGAAATATAATTGAGATTTGAAGGTAGAAGGGGGAAAATGCCATAAAATCCTTAGGTTCATGAATAGTTCTGGTCGTTCTCAAATTTGTCATCTGGTCATGCAAACAAACATTATACCTAGGTTATGACAAAAAAAGTTCAGGCATGAACATACTCTTGTTATGGAACAAAAAATAGTCACTCACATTGGCATATACACAAGCTCTGGCTCTTGGACTACGTATTTACATGCTCAGGCCGTGGCCAAATAACCAGTTGCAGTAGATATGCCAGATTTTGAGTAAAAAAAAAGAAGCAAAGATACATTCACCGATCAAGGCTTGTGTACATTATATGGATACACAAAATATGAGCTGCTTCTGAAACAGGATCTGACAAGTTCCACGGTTATTTCCTTACGCATAGCCTCCCGAACATTTTCTGAAACAAACGCACAACTGAACTCTGATCATTATACAACATCATGTTAGATCGTAAAGGGCCTTTCCAACTCTAAAATAGGTCCATCCCTTTCTACAATCAACATGAAACTATTCATCAATCTCCATCTTCACATATTTATTTCTCAACCGTTCACCACCCCTTCACCATACTCCAACGGTGCCTTGGGTGTATGGCTCCGCAGGCCGCAGACACCTATAGTCCATTAGGATTTGACACTAGTATCTATCAGGTTAAAGATATTGAACTAGCTAGGCTCTTATACCAATTATAAAATTGTAAAGAGCATATCCTACACATTAGTATTAATTCTTATAACGAGATTTAGTACATATTCACTAAATCAATATTATTCTCCCTTGCAGATGATGACCGACCTTAGTACATACATGGTGAGTGAGAACTAAGCAAATATATGCTAATCTTTAACGGTTCTTTGTGTTAAACCATTATAGATCAAACTAGCAAGATCAACGTGCTCTAGCTCCAACCGCTCCTATATTACGACACCCCACCTCTTTTCTCCCACCCCACAGGTTTCTGAGGTGACTTTTCTCTTCCTCAGTTGAGGTCCTAGCTAGATCTACCATATCTCCCACTATTTACCTCTGCCCCTTTTCCCCTTTCCCCTTTCTAGATCTAGGCTCACACAGGACGCTCATCCATCACCATCCCCTTCGCTCCCTCCTTTGGTATCCTGAATAACTTCAAACCAGTTAGGCATTGAGAGACAGAGAGTCCACTGGCACCCCCTCCATGGTACGGTGATGCATGGTAAATCCTTGGATGGGCCAATATGATGGCGACATCAGAGATCGGATTGAGGCCTCATCCTCTGCTTCTTGCTCTGGTGTAGACTGGAAAACAAAGACTTTCAGATCTGACCACTCCATGCTCGGTGCTTGCTGGATCTAGCCACTACAAGCTCTAGGGTCCTAGATCTAGCAAGGTATGGCAGGACGACAATATCAGTGCACGAATCAAGAAGTCCTTGCTCAACGCCCTTAGTCGTGGCTCCAACATGGTGATATGACGAGATGAACTAGCTAGGCATCACAAACAACAATAAGCAAATCATACCGGTGCGTATTTTCTTTTTTGCATTTTTTTAATTATCCCAATATATAATATAATCATTCATAGTCTGT